GAGAGAGAGAGAGAAAAGAGAGAGAAATCACCTTACAATTGCATACAGAAAGGGTTTGCGTACATGTAACAAAAAGGAAAAGGTGCGGCGTTATCAAGTGAAACAGATGAGTACTGTCACCACAATAGATGAAAACCCAAAGACGTGGAGTGGAAGATTTGTCAAACCAGCACATTATACAAAGTAGAAAGTCTCAAGACTTGATCAACAAGCAGTGCCTTCACACCAAAGCAATCACAAGTGCAGAGATGGAAGGAAACAACCGCAGCAGCTATAATTATGATATATTGGCAGTCCCCCTGGTGGTGGTGGTGGGGGGGGGGGGGGGTTAGTGCAAGAATTTAAAAGTCGATGTCCGTTGCTATATGCTGAGCGTTATACACTGAAAGTGCTAGCTGCATTAGACCTAGATTTATATGCAAGTAACTGCATGCGAGAATATCGCATACTTCGAGTACATGCTAGCTAAAGTAGGAGCGAGAATATCATACACATGCTGGCTACAGTAGAGCTACAAGAAAAGCACTGTACTCGAGAATAGCATGACGCTACCAGCGTATACAATCCAACATGGAGTAACCGATCAGGACATTCATGTGAGGTGAGGCCTCTCTATCTGAGCACACGTCCGTCTGGCATCAGTTCTGCCCTTCACATGTTTCATAATCCCTACTCCAGTCGACCTGCATACACTGAGGGGGCTTGCAATTGAGACGGCCAGGCTCGACGTACTGGAAATGTTTGAAAGTGAACTTCTTTTTATAAACGGGACCAGCAGAGTGCTGGAGCGGAAGACTACTCTCACCTGTTACCTTCATGGTCACAGATGACAATGTGCAGAAGTCATGCATGACTGATCACAAGCAGCTCATGTGTACATCGTGCACCTAGTAGCTGTAGATCTTGGTGCAGTGGATGTCCTTGTGGGCACACTCACGATTGCGGTTATAGCAATAGAAGTAGCCGCTCTTCAGCTTCAGGACTTTCACCAAGCCGTTGGGCCAGCGATCCGGCTAAGAGGAACATGCAGAGAGAGAGAGAGAGAGATGAGAGAGAGAGAGAGAGAGAGAGACAGAGAGAGACAGACAGAGAGAGACAGACAGAGAGAGAGACAGAGAGAGAGAGAGAGAGAGAGAGAGAGAGAGACACAGACTGAGAGACAGAGACAGAGAGAGGGAGAGACGACATGGAGGAAAAAAACTAAAAAATCATAATAATAGATGGTGCAAGAATGAACTCGGATGGAGAGCCAAGCACTAATTATAAAAAGTAAAAAGGACCAAGGAACTACAAGTTACACTATAATGTCCACTAACACCACCAGTTACTAAACAGCTCATGCAATAACATTGCACGACACTGACCGACCGTACTGACGTTTTACAACATTATAGTGTAACTTGTAGTTCCTTGGTCCTTTGCTCATCGTAGGTCAACCAAGACCATGTCTTGAAATATGACGCCTGACAAGAGCGCTGCACCACTGTCTTTTTCCCAATTTCCCGCCGAGGAAACGCGAAGGAAGTGGTTGGATGGACTGGCACTTCTGGCACAGATACTTCGCTGACAGAAGCCATAGCTGCTAAGCATGCACTGCGGCTAAGCTGACCAAACAGCGAGACAAATTTGAAAAACTACTTCGTTCAGTAAAAGAATCTGAAGCACTCGACGAAAACCCTCAAGTACTACAAATCACAATGTAGAATCCATCATGGCACGTGCTTTCAGGTCGCGCGACTCGAGCCACAGGCCCACAGGCCACAGCTAGCCCTCAAGCGCGCACGCGTGCACGGCAAGATCAGAGCGAGATCGCAAGTACGCGTACGTATGTACAATCGATGATCACATGACGTTACTGCGTCCTAAAAAAATCGTCGGTCAGCCCGCCGGCCCTACTGTTGTCCGTGCCACAAGCCAAAACTAGATCCGACTGATTGGATCCATAAGTCAGTGTTCTCATGACACCAGCCTGGTTGCCATGTACTTCGAAGTAGCACGTTCAAGCCCTATATCTTTCTTTGTGGACATAATCAGTTCAAATTGATAGTGATAACCATGGTAGATGTGTGTACATCGTAACAAAAAATCCGGGTGAGGTTTATACTCCGCATAATACTTTTTCTGTGAATACGATGTGGTAGCCACTTCCATGATTATATAATTGTGTTGATTTTCATAGGAAAGTTGGCTGCTCCCCACACTGGAGCGCTCGCTTTTCCGCCCACTTGACTTGGACTTGGGGTCAAGTGTCAAGTAAAGTTGGCGGAAAAGTACGAGCTTCGTTGTGGTTAGCAATGGACTTTATTACGTATGTTGTTGTTTTTCAAATCTCTATTCTCGCGATGGCCAATGGCCAATAAGAGATATTGTTTGTTTGAATTCTTTATTCTCACGATGGCACCATCGGCAATTGTTATTGTTGTTGTTGCTGTTGTTGACTATTATGTGAAGTTCAAAGCACCATATCAGCGAAACCTCTTACCAGATCTCCACTGTGAAAATGCTCATACTCGGTGGCATCGCGAAAGCCAGCCAGCTGAAACCGGTATGCTACAGGGAAAATGGACAGGTCACAAAACATCGTGTACATTGTAGATAATTCTATGCGTAGACAGGCATAGCGGGGTGGTCTAAGATCATAGTAGATAAACGGAGAGTACCGGGTTCAAGTCACCCTGTTCGGTCTATTCTCGAATCGATTATTGGGCCTATTCTTGAATGGGTTCCTGAATGCGCTGAGTGATCCTGATCAGATCCAATTGTGCCAAAGGGCGTTTCAGGGCTGAAATACCGATTTTAGATCTTTCGTTTTCCCTCGTAACCCTTATTCATCTTTATCGCCATGGCTGGCTATCACCCACTTTCTTCACATTGGCCGGAGTTTTCATTGCATCTTGAGATGTTGTAATATATAAAATTGATACAGTACGACCCTCACTCAAACCTTTTGTTTTGCTTCTGGTTTCTCATTTCTCATGACTTGAAGATGGATGCTAGTGTACTGGGAGAATTTCCAACATAATCTGCTGTGAGAGATGACGATGAAGTAGAGCAGGTCCCGGCATTCTTCCCGGTATTGAAGTATAATTCCAGTTCCTTTGCGGATGTGCTGGAGTTTCTCTGGCACCAGTGCATGCAGTTCCCAAATCCGAATTATGTTTTAGCCTTGCCCACTCTCTCCATGTTAGATGTACTGCGCGGTCCACAGTCCATTCAGAAAATGACGAGCGCTGGCTCTGGAGAGCTCCCGTGTTTGGTGAATTTTCGTGATTTTATGGTACACTGTGCAGTGCCGGGCCGCGAGATTCGAAATTTGAAAAAAGGGTCCAAAAAGGTGCCTCAACTGTGGTTCGACCCGCAAATGTACTGTTATGCACGTGCAGTGAACGGCCTGGATTTTCATGGTTTTTCCTCAATTCAGTGCTTTGGGGGCAAAACCAGGCTGAAATCCTATTCTCGTTATGGCTTCCTCTTCGGAGAAATAGACTTCAAAAACACAATGAAGAGCATTCCATGGGGGTTGCCAAAAAAATTGGGACAAAACTCAAAATTTGACCCATTAATGGCCAAAAGCTAGGATATCATCATTTTCTGAATGGACGGTAAGTGTAAGTAGGAAACCATGGGTGCAGCGGAGCAACTGTTTCCCAGGACTACTACTAGACCGCGCCCTGGCGACACTGCGGGCACTGGGTGCAGCACCCAACGGTAGATTCATTTCGTCCTCGTGACCTCCTTCAATCTCCTTTCCTGGCATACAAGAACTGTATCCTCCTCAATCGCATGCAAGTCAATTACTTCAATGGGGGACGGGGAGGAATGAGTTGTGCAAGCCGAGGTCTCTTACCGTCTTCGACTTCCTCGTTCCAGACTTTTCCTCGTTTCATGCTCTTGGGCTGTGGTGCCGTCACGGTCGCCGCTCGTCGTTTCGGTGCTGTGGCAGCCGCTGGGGCCATGCCGGGTCGGCGCACTATACCGATGTCATGCGAACTGGACCGCGCTGTTGCTGAGCTGGTCGATGCTGTCGCCGAAGCAGAGCAAGACGCCTGAGGCTCGCCGGCCTGCGGTGCTCGGCCCACACCGGCCGATGTGGACTGAGCAGAACTGCTGCTGGCGTCGCTGCTGCAGCTAGGAGTCCCTACGGACGTGGACACGCCGCTGCTTGGCTGCTTTGAGGTGCTAGCGAGCGCTCTTCCTTTCGTCGACGGCAATGGCTTGCCCAGCCCGCCTGCAGTGCGGCCCGGCGGCCTGCCATGAACAGCTTTGCCCGAGATGGACAACGAAGCCATTGGCAGTGACATTGTCTTGTACTTACAGCAAGTGGTGATCTATCAGATTACCGAAATCAGTTGCTTCGCCTTGCTTCCCCACTTCTGGCGGGTACACACTGCACCTCCTTACAAACTACTTCCTAGCCTTTCTTACTGCAATAAGCTTGGGCGAAGAAGTTGGCTGTTTGCCGAGGCCCTGGAGCCACAGTGTAGCACTAGAGAGGAACTGGACCCTGGAAAGAAGCCGTGGAAGCTGTCGACTAAAACTGTTCGTTCAGTGATTGATGTTTCAATGAAGCTAGCTAGCTTGCAAACGACTCCTGCTTCTACAAGATCTACTACTACTAGTACTACTAGTACAGTACAATGTAGTTCTAGTGCCTGAACTAACTAGTTACTTGTGAAGTAAAGTACGGGTTAGTAGGCGGTAGTTGAACTGAAGCCTAGGCCAGGGCTTTCGAATTTCGCGACTCCTGATCCTGGCCTGGCTTGTGCGACATCATCATGACACGTAACACGTTCAAGCCGACCGCGCGCCGGGCCGGTGCTGCTAATGCTTGTGGCTCAATGTAGCTGAACCATCGGACCTTATTTGTCAGCTTGGATCACGTGATCCATCCAGCTGCCGCGTGCGGCAAACAGCCCAAATAGCGCTAACTTTGGCCTGCGAGCGTTTGCTGCGACTAGCGCGCTAGCGCTCGTGACATACACAAACGCGCTAGCCAGAATGCTTTGACTTTGATGGCTTTCAGCTTCTATTTTTTGAAAAGTAGCGCGCTCAGACCAGCTCGCTCACTCTTTTCCTCTTCCATTTTTTAGGGCAATTGTTTTGTTTGATAGACGAAGCTTAGGGTCTCTTTGGGTTTGCAATCCTTACCCTCCTGGAAAAAATCATAGTTGTGCTAGACTGCGACACTTCAGACCAGGTACTATTAGAGCCGCTAATGGACGACGAGCTATTTTCCGCTATCCGGAGCTCAAGCATTTGAGCCGCTAAATGGACGAGACTCCTGGGGTAAAGGATGCAGAGAATGAGGAGAAAACACTCGTATGGAGCAGGGAGTAGGTATTGTACTACTTCCTGGTATGGAGCACTGAGAAGCGGTAAGTCTTAGGGCAATTCTTAGCCAGTAATTACTTTCTCGTCATAATTATGTTCTCGTTTTTCGTGTCTTCTGTAATGCCAGTACACTAGCAGTACGACTACACTGTTGGCGAGAGTCCATAAGCCAGAGTGTGCAGCTCTCCATCTATGCAGCATAAACAAATTAATGACAAATTTCCTTTGCCTAAGGGCTGGGTTCCACTGCCGCTCCGCCGCACATCATCCACGGCATGAAACGTCATCATTACGAGCTGGTCCAGCGAGGCCGCGGCTCATCACCAGCTTTCGCTTCGCTGCTTGATACAAAAAAATGCAAGCCGCGGTCACGGCTTGCATTGTTTCCCGCACTTAATTGTTTTATTCGGGGGAATTTTAATTCGTTGCACAGGCCAGAACACGAGGATTTTTTTGGATTTCACGCGCGCGCAGGCAGGCTAAATGTCATAAAAAAAACGTCGAGCACGATCGCGGTACCGTGAATGGCGAGTGTCACTGGAACCGCGCCGCTCTGCTGCATGCAGCCAAGTACCGTGGAGCAGCGGAGCTGCGGAGCCGCAGTGGAACCCGGCCCTAACCAAACTTTTAGCAATTTGAAAATGTTTGACAATTTTTCATAGAAAACTTGACAACATTGTTCTTCTGTAGAGTGCCGCTGGCAACTCCATCGATGAACTCCATCAATGAGCGCAGGGATAAAGTTTAGAAACCCTTCGAGCGAGAACGTGTTTTCGAAAAGGAAGCACAAATATGCCGCGTAACTTCCCCTCTAGTACTGTATGGCCCCATCAAAGCCACTCGCTGACTACTTACCAGTAAAATGGGGTTGGACAGTTGTCAGATTAGCTGACATGTTTTCTGCCAACACAACCATAAGCAGTTGTCAACTCTCAAGACTAAAAGAGCTTGCGAAGAAAGTGAGAAACCTTGGCTTTGAAAGCACATGAAGCGTCAGAACTTAATCGAGCAAACTTGGACCTAGATTACCAGTGTCTGCTCCTGAGCCGGGTCAGTGGCCCTGTTTGTGAGTACTTGGACCTTTTGGAAAAAGAACACTGGGTTACCTGCGACCCGGTCGGAAGTCCTGTCGAGTACTATACTTTTTTATACCGTTCGAGGGTATACCGCCACTGACAGGCTGCAAACGCGTGCAGATGCGTGTGGCCAGAGTGCCCAGTGCGAGTACGTTCATACATGTACATGTACAATCATGTACATCAGGAAGTCGAAAGTAAGTTTACGACTCCCTGACACACAGTAGCCGCACTTGAACGCATCTGGCTCTGGCCCAGTGTTGCAGGAATACCCGGTTTGTGTTAAATCTTAGAGCAGGTACTGCATACCCTATCATATCTGTGTACATGGGTAGACAGAGTCAGTGTTGTTGCGTCCCACTCAGCACCCTTCTGGTTCATTTCGGCACCAGCACTCTTTGCGTATGCAGAGTTGAGTAGAGTGCAAGTTCGGACCACAAGTACACTGCAGCGGCTAGTAGCAAACCTAACCTGTGCCGTGATGCCTGGCACGTGTGTGCATCTACTTCATCCCTGAGTAACACACCTGGTATATTGTGCACAATAGGGCACAGTAAATAATCAGCATGCATCGCAGTTTTCTGCAACATATTCCTGAAGTCACTTTACACCTCAGAAGAATTGCGTCGCTGACTGGAATTCGATACCGGTTTAGTTTCTCTCTGGGTCATTATCAATCATAGAAAACCCGTCATACAATAGGTTCAAGCTAAAGTACCGTATCACCATGGTAATTCCTGGAAATTCGGTGTGTTTTCTACGTTTTTGTTAAACAAGCAGCAATGTGCAACAGAAATTACCATGGTGATAGAGTAGATGACCGTGTGAAGCGGTGTGAGATGCAGCAAAGGTGAGCCTGTTACTGCGAGTCTATGCCCTAAACAATAAACTTTGCCGTGGGATGATTCTCTTTGGGCTGCACACTGGTTAATGTACTCTTGGTGGCAGCATTCTGGTGCCAAAGATGATATTTTTTCAGAAAAATAAGCACTAGAGAAATGGAGTGGGAGTCACCTGAATTATTCTATTAGCAGAGCTGCAATACTTGGGATATGAGATTATTCCCGTAGCTATGCAAAAGACGCTATTCAGTTGTACTTTAGTAGCATCTGGCGCTAGCCAGTATCCACACCGCTGTAATTCGGTGCGTGTCACGGTGTCTGGTAGGGTGGTTCACGTGGCATGCCATGGTTGGTGCAGTATCCCGTATGTGTCCCGTACCGTAATTCGAGTATGCGGTGCGCACCGTAGCATAGATGTATCTGGAGCGCTGTACGAGCTAAGATGTCGGGGCAAATATGGGGACATTCACAACATGCAATGTGAATATGCACGTCAGTTTCGTTTTAAGAAGTGGGTTTGACGGAGTAAGAAAGGGCCCCAGCTTTGGCTGCTGCATGCTAGCCCAGTGGGTACCAATCTCCTGCCATCGGCCGAGTGCTGATGGAACGGAGTAGAAGAAAAAGAAAGAAGAATATTGCGTTCAAGAATACAATTTCGGTAAGGGATATACAGTAAAACCTGTAACTAAAGACCACCGTCACTAGCGACCAGCCTGGTACTACCAACCACTTCGCCAGGCACGGAAGGTCTCACATTCAAAATGCACTGTGACTAGCGACTACCTTCTGAACGCGACCAGCGACCGCCTTTTCCTGTCCCAAACACAATTTTTGACCCGTAACTAGCGACCGCGATGTAGGAAATCAAATGTTGCTCGAAGCTCCTTCTTGAAATTTTACTGCTTTTCCATGGTCCTGAAAAGAATCTTTCGATACTACAGCTGAACAAATGAATGCAGGTAATTTTGGCTGTTGAGTCGGTGTGGACTGCACTACACCTGTCAAAATTTCAAGCGCTGTCAAGAAAAAACATGATAGGAAACGTCTTGGAGAGCGCATCGAAAGCGCTCTCTGATCGATGTTACTACTCGGAGGAGAAACGAAGACTGGGCGGCTCTGTCACACCAGTCATACAGACGGATTGACGATGGCATCAAGGAATCCAGAAACAAAGCAGCACCACAAGGTCCTGATGCTGAAGGATCGCGTTCAAGCAATCCAGAAGTCACAACAAGGACAGTCGGTATGATTGATCGCATGAACAAATTTGAAGCCCAGCGCGAAACGAAACTTCCCCAGGGAACGTTTGACTCCTGGCTTCAGAAGTAGCAGCTGAATTTGAAGTCTGCAAAAAATTAATCTTCTCTCTTTCTCTCTCTCTCTCTCTCTCTCTCTCTCTCTCTCTCTCTCTCTCTCTCTCTCTCTCTCTCTCTCTCTCTCTCCATCTCTCCGTCTTTCTGACATTGCGCAAGTCCTGGGGAATCGTATTAGCTGCATTTTGACATACATATCATATAATGGGATCCACATATGGTCACGCGGTGCAAACCTCTAACTAAAGACCACCTGCTACTAAAGACCGCTTTTGCTGGCACCAAGGGGTGGTCGGTAGTCACAGGTTTTACTGTACCGGTAAGTGGATAGCTAACTAAAATAATTAGCCGTATGGTTTAGAAATAGTGGTGGCGACTCTGGATGGCAGTCGCGAGTCCGTCAAGTGTCAAGTCGACGGAATAGCGCTAGCTCCAGTGTGGGGAGCAAACCCATTCCTAGGTTAGCATCCCCCCACCTCACAACAGAGCAACCGAGTTTTGGATTAAGCTGGGAGTGCCGATTCGAGCAACTGGTATGATGGCTCTGCTTGGAGCCACTAGATGGCTCGCAGCTGAGCCGGCAAATGACTCTGCTTGGAGCCGGCAAATGACTCCGCATGGAGCCACCGAATGACTTCGCATGGAGCCGCCGAATGACTCTGCATGGAGCCGCCGAATGACCCCGCATGGAGCCGCCGAATGACCCCGCATGGAGCCCCAAATTGACTCCGCATGGAGCCGCCAATGACTCCGCATGGAGCCGCCAATGACTCCGCATGGAGCCGCCAATGACTCCGCATGGAGCCGCCAATGACTGCATGGAGCCGCCAATGACTCTGAGTAGAGCCTCCAAATGCTAAATATATTGGTATGCATAACCAGTTGAGAGCATATATTCTATAAATCGGCACTCCCGGAGCGGATCACAAAGTGCAGCTACCCGTGCAATCTGTAAGCGGTGCAAGCTAGGTAAAGACTGTCAGAACTTGATATCATGGGCTGAGGCCATTGCCGCAGCCACCCATACTTTGGCTGCAGGTGGCGTCCGAATGTTACTCGGGCAGACATCGCTTTCCACCTTCCCGCTTCTCTGAATATCGAGTCCCGCAGCTGATTCGAAACGAGTGGCCGGTGTACAACGCCAGGCCAAAGCCACAACTGATGAGCAATATCCTCGCAGTTGCTGTAAATGCCCATCGATTGGCATTCGCAGCTGATGCCGCTAGTTTTCCCAGGTGCTGCGGGCTGCCACAATTGCAAACAACCCTTTGCGATTGCTGCTCTGCTTGATTGACTGTCCATCGCCCTATCCCCGGTCGCAATTGTACGAGCACCGGCCAAGTGCACCACTTGCATCAGTGAATACCAGCAAGTCGGGGGGACGGCGTCCATTTAGGGTATAGGAAGAAGGACCGGCCGTTCCGCTAATCCAGGAGCTCAGGCCATCAGCGAAGATCTTTGAGGCACTCTTTGGAGAGCTTGATCAGGTAACACGGCTGCCGGTACCATTTGGCAAGTGACCACAATCTGCAATTTGCATCCAGGGGCTATCACTCTTGTAGCAAACGGGAGCTTTCCCAGAAGAGACTCGAGTTGACATTGGGTAGTTGAAGCTGTGTGAAGAGTGGCCCGAAGGAGATCACGAAGCTCGGCAAGTTCGTCCATAGGCATACTGATGTTAGCGCGGCGGGTGTCCAGGATGACGCCGATAAACATCAGGACGTGGGCTGGACCCTCCACTTTTGCTGACGCCAGAGAAAACACCGAGGTATGTAAACGCGCGGCGCCGAGTAGCGAGTTGCTGGCGAGCCAACACAGGTCCAGAGCATGCATTGAGGAAGCACTTTTACTGGCGCCAGAGAAACACCGAGGTATGTAAACGCGCGGCGCCGAGTAGCGAGTTGCTGGCGAGCTAACACAAGTTCAGAGCAGGCATGGAGACAGAAACGTTAGTCGAGGCACTCCCCGTAATAGGATGATGCCAATAACGTCAGGACTTGAGCTGGACCCTCCACTTTTGCTGGGGCCAGAGAAACATCGAAGTATGTAAATGCTCGGAGCAGAATAGCGAATTGCTGGCAAGCTAACACAAGTCCAGAGCATGCACTGAGGAAGTAACGTTAGTTGAGGTATTCCCCGTAATGCAATAGGCGTGTGAGTGCGAACTGCTAGCACATAATCCATTCACTGGCGGATGCGACAGAGTTCCATATAGCTGGACTGGAGCGTAATACAGTCTGAAGGGCAGGGCACTCTCATAAAAGTATTGATCCTGCCAGCGGATCGACAAGGACCAATCCTCCGGGCGGACGGGAATTCGGCAGAATGCACTTTTAACATTGAGCTTAGCAAGATACACCGGGGCGAGCACAATTGTGGAGGAAATTGTTTGGGAACGCATGTTCCGCAAGTTGCATGCTCGAAAGTCGAAAACAGCAATGACATGCAAGAGACATTGTACAGGATCTTGGAGGGCGCATGACCATGTGACTCGCGCATGCGTGCAGGTCGGGCCAGCTCGCTGGACTGCCTGCTAACTTGCGTTAGCATGCTAACGCTCATTATGGTTTAGATCGCATTATTGTAATGGTTGCGGTTTGATTTCAAAAGACCATAGAACGTGTCGTACTATCGGTCGAAAGTTTAGGGGTGTGGTACTAATGGGCTAGGAATGTAAGGATCGGGTAGATTGCAGTGTTTTAATGGTCGTAGTTGTTGTATAAATAGAATGCTGAGATAATTAGAAGAGGACTATGAGGAGGAGCAAAATGACAGGGGTGACAGTGTTAAAGCTCTGAGCAGACGGCGTCGGCAGGAGTGCCTACACAGAGAGTAGAAGAAGGGAGAAGAGAGGTCCCGCCGCCTCGAGAGTCGCCGTGCTTGCGAAAGGCTATGCCAACAGCAAGAAACGACGGAGCAAATATCCCGTCGTTTGGAGACTCACCGCCTTCGTGACAAGACGCGTTGACAGAGCTAGAGACCGCTGCACAGGCATCCATTCAGCAGGAGAAAATACATGCTCTCATGCTCGAACTTGTTCGGTGTGCGGGTCCATCATCATGTTACGCACCAGCCTGGCCCTATTCCGTTGATGTTCCGTACCATTCTGGCAAAGACTGCTGGCCACATGTTGAAACAGGGCTTGAAAAAAATGAAATAAGCTAGTACCAAAGCGTAATCTATTATTATATTTACTTTTACTTGGTAGAATGTACCTGTCTGAGAGTTTGAGTTTTGAGTTATGTATCGATGTGCGTTTATGAACTAAAGTTTTGATTGTCATGCACATGTTTTTGTATTGCAAAGACGTTTCTATCAGTTCGAACAACACACATGATGACCTAGGCAAATATTAAGCATAGCGAGGGCTCCTGGGCGGTCAAGCCCTCTCTAGCCTTCAAGCCCAAGCGCTCTTTATTTGTGCGATATCGAAATGAAAAACTAAATGATATAACAACGATGAACAATTTATTTCAGCCAAGTACAAGTGGGGTCTATTGGTATCCTTTATTTCAGCCGAATAAAACTGTTGTTTATTCCTATCGCATAATGCATGATAACCTAGGCAAAAAAGATAGTGAGGGCCCTGAGCTTTCAACTGAGCTCTCTCGTTGGAATTATTAATATGGAGGTGTATGTGCCAATTTTTCACGTAGGATTGCCTGCCACTTGCAGCACTGCATTGCCTTCTGCAATTTGGGGGAAGCTGCGTGCTCAGGCCCGTAGCAGCTCCATTCTGGTTGGTCCAGCGAGACCTGACTTCCACAACTTTGCGTGCTTTTCTTGTGACGGGCATATACATGGTACAAAGTATGTGTGTATGTGTGTGTGTCCGTGTGTGTCTGTGTGTGTGTGTGTGTGTGTGTGTGTGTGTGTGTGTGTGTTGGCGTTCCTCTGGAGCAGCTTGGTGACATCGTCCAAGATCGACAGGGATGGCGGGTCACCTGCCGTGACGCTGTCGACGCTATTGTCCAGTCCCGCATGGAGCCTGTGGCGAAGCCCCTCATTTGTGGCACTTGTGCGCGCAGTTTTCGTCGGCCACAGGATATTGCGACGCACAAGTGTAACGCTGTTCGCGCGGCCCGCGCGCGCTGAGTATGGCGTTCCCCGCCCGGTGGACAACACGTCTCCTGGTCTGCCCCGTATGGGGCCACATAGCCAGTCATGGCAGTGGAAGAAGGAAGGACGGGGTGTGTGTGTGTGTGTGTGTGTGTGTGTATGTGTGTGTGTGTGTGTATGTATGTGTATATGTGTGTGTGTGTGCATGCATGTGTGTGTGTGTGTGTGTGTGTGTGTGTGTGTGTGTGTGCGTGCGTGCGTGTGTGTGTGTGTGCGTGTGCCCCCCCCCCCAACCCAAACCAAAATCATGGTTTCTGGCCCCCACCTCTAACGACGATCTAGAGCCGCTCGCGACTCGAACCATGGAGATTGCCCATGTGTCGTCTTTTCGTTACCTTGGATCCAACATACACAGCAACGGCCGATGTCATGATGATGTTACATCCCGGATCTCTGTCTTTTCTCCTTCTGTCTGTCTGTCTGTCTGTCTGTCTCTGTGTGTTTGTGTGTGTGTGTGGGTCTCTCTCTCTCTCTCTCTCTCTCTCTCTCTCTCCCTCTCTCTCTCTCTCCCTCTCTCCCTCTCTCTGTCTCTCTCTGTCTCTCTCTCTGTCTCTCTCTCTCTCTCTCTCTCTCTCTCTCTCTCTCTCTCTCTCTCTCTCTCTCTCTCTCTCTCTCTCTCTCTCTCTCTCTCTCTCTCTTTACCCCGCTCTCTCTCTCTGTGTCAATATACAGCTTTCACTGTCCAGGAGCGACACTGACTCGCACTGCTATCTGGTGCTCACGAGGTGCTTGTCGCGCTGCAAACGGAGCGTCTCTGTAAGTTTGTATCCCTTGTGATGTTTGGACCTGGAGAGCACTATATAAATGGTGCTTCTCAGGCACAATCTTCCTCAGCCTACTCAAACTCGACTGACGAGGGTAAATTTTCCCGAAACACTGTGTATTGAGCAGGGAGTGGTCCCTTCTTGCAGGTTTTCCGAGTGGAAGGTTGGATGGACTTTTCGTGTGCTCTGGGTGGCAGCTGTCAGTCAGTCAAGTGTAAAGTCAAGGCGGCGGAATAGCGTGAGCTCCAGTGTCGAGAGCAAACCCTTTCCTAACAATCTTCGCCGAAGTCGCAACCACTATTTCGTAGGTCTACCCTTGTTAGGAGCAACAAGACAACCCATTATCAGACAATGTTTCATCGGACCCCGATACAAGACAACATGAAATATCAATCGAGCTATCCTCGGCCATCCGCTTTTTTTGTAATGAGAATTCAAACCTGTGGGACAGCTGGAGGGGACGTTATAACGAATTTGGTCTACAAACGAATAATCTCTTATCCGGACTTGCATGTACGACTGCTAATGATTCATGGGATTTTGGATCGTTGTCTGCTAATGAGGTTTGTCTTGCAACCGATGTCATACTAACGAGGGTAGGACTGTAAATTAAATGCTTGAAAGTTGAAACTTCGTTTTTCAGATGAATCAGACTGCAAATCAATAGCATAGCAAAGACCATAGCTATCCCAGGAACACTTGAGTAGTGCCCTCTTTTACCTTTTTCTATGTTGTCCTCTTCAGTTTGAGCAGGTATGGATGTTTCCTAGTGCCTTCTAGAATTTCTAGGTATATCATTGGTCTTGTTCGGATCGTCCATTAAGTTTGCAGCTGTTCAAACTTGTATTGTTGTTTATTATTTTATTGATTTATTTATTCTACTTGCCTTTCCTATCTTCTTGTGTTTTAGCATTAGGCGATTTGATCGCAGGACGAGAGAGGAGCTGATGGACGATCTCTCCAATGTTCCACTTGGTTCGGAGCGGCGCCGAGTGCTGACGTTGGGACTTGGGTAAGGATGAGTGTTCCCTCATGTTTACAAGTTATCCGTTTTGTCCAACACTAACGGTTATATGCAGAATACTGTTGAGTCAAAAATGTGCAACAATCAGCACAAAAACTGACTGATGAGATCATGACATTCAACGACCTGATGCTTAGCTGCATCATGTTTATACCCGTTAGTGTTGGAAAAAACGGATACCTCGTAAACTTATGGTCCTCTTTTTTAATTTTAATCCTTGGCTCTCCATCCGAGTTCCCTCATGTGTTGCTATTATTTTTATTTACTTATTTTTTTGCCCAGGGTCTACATTCTACATTTATTTTACTTAGACTAGGGTTAGCTGTCCGTTTACCAGTACTCATCCACACATATGTGTACATAGGGTCTACACAGAACTCTATCAGTAGATATTTTTGTATAGGAGGTTGTCTATCCACCGAGATAGCACTATATACTCCCATTCTGTGTGTTCTCTGGTAGCTATGTTCCTTGGAGACCATATGACTGTGCCAGTGTGGTGACCGAGGTGAGGTGTGTCTGCACTGGCATCGTCAACTTGCCTACTGCTACGTGCTCCCCAGTGCTCCATCTGTGTCCTGTACTTTATTTGGGGGGGGGGGAGGGGCAATACCGGTACTTCAGGTGCAGGGGGCAAGGGGGATGGGGTGGGGGACATCATGCCCCCAATGAACCTCTCCAGGCGTTGTTCTGGAGTAGACTAACCATAGGCGGAGTGTACACATGCAGCACATAGTTTGGGAATTAGAACGCGATCAGACTCGGGCATATTCAAAGGCAGTCTATTGTGATAGTAGTCCTGGACGGATCTCACTATGATGATATAGGTCGTGCCCAGCATCACAATGCCCAACATTATAAATGACTGTTTTTTTTCCTGAGGGGCTAGATGAACATGTGGCTAGACTGCCGATGGCAACCAACAGGCTCAAGGCTGTGTTGAGACTTCGTGTTTGCGACCCGAGTCAATTGTTTACTCACCATGACTAGGCATCGCATCCGGCATCGTATGACCATTTTATATGTCACTGTTCTTAGTCGCACCGGGGGCGTATGCCCGTTTTCAGGAGACTTATCAAAACACATAAGCCCTGTGCCCTGAAGGTTAGGCCTATTGTTAGTCTGAATAGTCCTGGCTACTATCCCACTAAGTTCATTGACTTTCTACTGAACCTGTATGTACGTGAGGAAAGTACTGTTCTGGCCTGAACTACGGATTTCATCAACTTGGTAGAAGGTTTGCCTGTGCGGGACGATCATTTATTTTTAGTATAGATGTGACCAGCCTTTACACCAGCATCCCCAACGAGCTCGGTCACGTGGCATTGTCGTGGTATATCACACACAGGTATACAAGGTGGATGCCCCCGGCCCTTCGTACACGGTTAACAACAGCAGTGACTTCCTTGATGTCAGTCATTCGGAAGACTAACGGGTTCGTGTAAGATAACGATTTGTTTCCGCAGATCCAAGGGACTGCCATGGGGTCGCCTGCAGCAGTGGTCTATGCCGACATTGTTATGCTGTATTTGGAGAATCGGTACATTTTGCCGATCTTAGAGGGGGAGGGTTTAGAGGTTCAGGTTTATAGACGCTTTATCAGTGACATTTTTGTTTCATTACATGGTTGCGAAGGTCAAGTTCAGCGTGCTTTAGACAGGATTAATAAGTGTTCGGCCCTCGAGTTTGCGCATGAACTGGCACATGATGGCATTGATTTCCTGGACACCACAGTTTTCCGTAGTAAGGGATACATGGCGGTGAAGCCTCATTTCAAGGTCACCAATCGTTTCCTGTATCTGCTTGCCGGTAGTAACCACCCCCGTAGTATGGGTAAAGGTGTGTTCACTGGGGAGTTGATCCGTATCCGTCGGTCTTCGACCCTTGACCACCACTACGAAGCTGCTGCCGAGCAGGCGAAGCAGACTTTCCGGGCCCGTGTATACAAGAGCTCCATCTTTCATCAAAACTAACTTAATGGAAGCACACACAAGGCTTATTGTTACTCTGTACTGGCTGTCGTGGAGCGATAGCAATTAGCTAATTTCAGACCCAAAGTGAATTTGACGTGCACTCTAAAACGTGTCCGGTTTGGAGCCACCTCTGATTTGAACTTTTTTGAAGCGAAAAATTGGGTAACTTGGAGGCAATGGGTCAACACAAAGGAGTGGCTCAGTTCGATTGACTCTGGCCCCAGAGCAAACTTCAACATGCCAGTTTCCTTCCACAAACATATTTCGAGTGAAAAATCAACGCTGATGATCGGTTTGGGTCTATACAAATTTGGCTGTCAAGGCGTTCCGGTATCGAACCGTCTACTCTACCAGAACACTGAGTTGTTGGCATAAGCCGGTAACTTTTGTCGAGCCTGTTTAAGGCTACCACCTCCTCCAAATATGCTAATATCTCTTGACTGTACAAAAGATGTGCCGAGCAGACACTTTCTTCATCTCTTGACTGCTTTGTGTGTTGTGTGTATGGGTACGTGTATCCAGCCATTCAACTGCAGTGCCAGTCTGGCTACCTGCCCTGCCTGCGTTCCAGCCTGTGGCTGTATCCTGCCATCACAGCGCTGCGACGGTGTTTGGTACGACTGTGCTGATGGCTCTGATGCACAGTACTGCCCAGGCAAGGTCACACCAGCTCCAGGTAAGCACCAGCAGCAGCACTGATAGTAGTACCATGACTTCTATTATTATTACAGGGTGCAACAGAGCTCTCGGCCATTGAAGAAAATGTTGAGTCACCTCCACCACCACACTGCGCTCTTTAGCCGACTAGACCCTCCTGCACACAACCATCATCATTGCGAGGACACTTCCGTAGACGATATTGATAAACTCCTTCAGACAGCTGTTTCGCTAATACATAGCTCATCAGTGAAGGTAGATATTGAATGATTAAAAATATAGACCAAACTGCTATTATATAGGGGGTTTCCACATACAAAACTGGCATAGCTGAGGTGATAACGCGGGAAAAGGAAAGTGTGAAGTACTGTTGACGCGCATTGGACATGCATGCAGCGTCGGATATTCGGCGCGGAAAATCAATCACTATTCAATGCAGAAATAACGTGCCAGAATCAGAGTACTATGTAGCTAGTAGTGAGAGTCTGTGTACTAGTATTGCAGTTGTCCGAGCGCCATGAAGGCCTGCGAACGCACCTCCAGACCCGCCGACGTCGACAGCCACAGCAGCCCCTGGGGCATGACACTGTACTGCTCGCCCGTCGCGCCAAGACGCTTGGCAGTCACTAGGCTTCATGCCACCGATGTTGTCCGCAAGCTACCTTGTTATCTGCCCATCACCCACTGCCGTTGACACGCTGGGAGGCCCCGCGGCATTCGCCCAGTATATCGTCGTCAGAGCTGTGTCGACGGTACAATAACGCTGGTAGAAACAAACAGTTGGTCGTATGATATTGCGTCCTCCGGATTGTCCCTTGACTCGTCTTGTCCCTCTTCTTGCTCTGACGCTAATGACTTCTATTACAAGCAAAATGTAGAGCTACTGTTGACCGCTATTCAATGCTGTATTTATTTTATTACTTTGCATGGCCATGTTGAGGCAGTCTTCGCATCAATTTCCTTTACACAATGCGTGTACTACAATGTATTCAAAACCAATGTCTGTGCCACGCACACATACGCAAACGTTTTAGGGATGAAACGAGTATATCGAATACTCGAGCGCTTGCTCGAAAATTCGAAAGGAGTGAGGACTCGTTTCGCAAAATACTCAAGTATCTTATGCACAGTGTACTGTATGCTTGTACATCAAGCACGTCTGTTACTCTGACCAGTACTGATAACCCATGCAAGTGTGAAATTATTTCTTGTCCCTACTTACCAACAAAAGACGTAGTTCAGACTATTTCCTGCACTAGGCTGCATGCAAGACTACATGTGTCAGGTGTAATACGTTCAGTGTTACGAGAGTGTGTGCAGTACATTGTTTTATGTTGTCAGTAAAATACTCGTACTCGCTCGAATACTCGCTCGTTTTTTCAAAGAGTACTCGAGTCCTCAATTTTGGCACTCGTTTCACCCCTAGGCCAAACATGCATGCACTGAATGCCTGTGCTCTGTGCTCTGTGCACTCTGTGCTTGTGCAGGTCAAACCGACTGCCAGGTCCTGTCACCACCGGCACTGGGCTCAATGACCGTGAACGGCTTGATGTTCAGCAACACGACCACGTTTGTGTGCAGTCTCCCTATGTCCTTATGGGCTCGGCCGTGTGTACTTGTGAAATCAACGGCCAGTGGAGCGGTGTGCAGCCAACTTGCGTCCGTAAGTACATGTACCAATGCTCGACTGGCTTGTATTATGCATTCCCGTTCATCACACCGCTCATACTGTCAAATGCTGCCTCTTTTCATTCACAATGGCATGGGTCACAGTAGATAGGCCTGGTGCAGGTATGGCCAGTTCCTTGCTTGCTGCAGTACAGTATGACATATTAACTTAGCTGGTAAGCAGTGCATGTGTGCATGGCAAGTGTTAATTTTGTCCATTGCTTTCCAACCCATGTGTAGTGACGACTGCTGCTCTGAGTGCGGCCAGTGACGAGCTAGTCAAGGACTCCGTCTCAGAACGCATGACACAAACGTGTAAGCCTAGTATTGCTGCATAATTAAGAGCAATTTCTCCTACTGCTGACTGCTGAAAATGTTGTGTCCTTCACAACTAGTCTCTTTGTTCTAAGAAGTCTGCCTCTTTCATCGATTCGTGTTTACCTAGCTGCGTTACGCTATTAGTAGCCTATTACCTGTTGTGCAATGGGGCTGGCCTAAAAGCTGCTCGCTCAACAGTTGTGTTGCATGGCATAGAGGGAGATACGGCAAGCCACCTCGGCATATTTGCGGATAGAGCTTTTATTAGAAAGGAAAAGGACATATGGATACGAGTTAAGAGTAACTGTCCACCACTGTAACTAGCTACTACAGTAAAAAAATGCAACAACTAGGCACAAAACTGACAGAGTGCTGAGACATTCGACGACCTGACTCCTAGCTTCAACACATCTCCGTAGCGCTAACCAACAGCCTTCCAACTTGGAAGGTTCAAGGTTAAAAGGAGAGACCAAAGAGGGGAAGGTTAAGCGCAACGAAAATGAGCACAAGCTAGTAGTTGAAGCTACAGTCCCACAAGAACAAGAAATGTTGATTGTTACTGGACGATGACGAAACCAGTATTACCTTTCCCTCTTTGGTCTCTCCTTAACACTACGGAGATGTGTTGAAGCCAGGAGTCGGGTCGTCAAATGTTTTAGTGCCTGGTTGTTGCACTTTCTGACTGTATTTAGTATATAGTGACAGTTACTCTACACTCATATCCATACGTCCTTTTCCTTTCTACATTAATTTTATTATTGCCATATTGGCTCAACATCCGAGTTTCAAAGAGCTTTTAGTGGACGACTTAATCCATTTTCGGCAATACTTACAACGATCCAATCAGTCATATTGTAGATCAGGCTATGCTGTGGGTAAGTATACTACTGGCCTTGTATGGCTTATTGTTTGCCAGCGAGTATTTAGCATCATCTACTAGTATTCACTCGTTTGACAGCCAAAGAGTATTTGTGTGGGAGGCTGGGAGTCTCGCACCTGACTTGGTCACGTTGCGCCTGAAGGTCACTAAGACGCGGCCATATACGGTGGAGCCGTCGCAGTTCCATCTACTGTCGACCAAACATGCCCGGTATTGGCTATTCCGGTACATGACAGCCCATACCTGTAGCACCAAGCCTGTGTTCACTTTTGCCAAAGGGATCCACCTTACTCGGCCTTATTTAAATAAGATACTCTGTCACGCTCTCAACTGTTATCAGGTTAGCTCCTGCTCCATGCCCATTGTTGGAGCGACAGTCCTGGAATCCAGAGTTGCAAGTGAGGTGGTGATACGGCAAGCAGACGGTGGCAAAGTACGGCTTAAAAGCTCTACATCTGGCAAGTGGCCGGCATACCACCCCAATGGACATCGGAACAGTACACGTAGAGTAGCATCTCTACGTGACAGGGTATGAGCGCAAGTGAGTTCTTATGCTCTACTAATGTGCATTGATACTGTGACTATAGTTGCAGAGAATTTTCTAGAACCGCCCCAACCGGTTTTCGACCGGTTGAAATAGTTGGCGACCGGTTGAAAAGTTACAAATCAGTTCCAACCGCCCGTACTTTTCTGTGGGTGAATGGAGCTGTGAATGGTCATACGCTTTTTTCTGGATGGATACTTCCAGCGAAGCCGCGTGGGCTGGTACTAGGGTCACGAGTTTGTACGGTTTGTACGGTCGAACCACGTCATCGAGCTGTAGCAACGGCGTTGCTACAGTCCAACAGCTCCGCGCGACACTCCAGCACCAAGAAATCTGTTAAATTGCTGTCGAGTGCCATATTTGGGTTGTATTTTGAAAACTATTTCCGGAGGGGGACCCCCCGACTCTTCATTGTACCGTAACCGGTTGGAAATTTGTCCTAGAATATACCCTGAGTTGGTGTACAGATCTCATCACATGAGCCTTAGGCGGGATTTCCTTTTGTCCGACTGGAAAATTCAGCCCTAACAAACAGTGTGATGGATGAATTTGACTCCAGTTATCTGCTTTTGGGAATGCCATGTATGCATGTCTGGCGTGCTGCTGCTATAATGTTGTGGCAGCAGCATTTTGGTGCGATGGACTGTTCTTGTAACGGTGTACCTACCCATTTGCTGTTGCCGGATGCCGTGTTTTGTCAGTTGTGCCTGTTTGAAGGTGCCAGGCCAGCTTGTGTTGGTGCATTCCCGATAAGTTGCCAGGGCACCATATTTGTAACGGCGTTCCCGTTTTGCTGTTGTGGGGCTGTGTTTGTATCGGTGTGTTCCCGTTGAAGTTGACGGGGCACCACGTTAGTGGATTGTGCCTGTTTGAAGTTGCCAGGCCAATCCTGTAACGCACACCCGTTTGCTGATAATTGGGGACATGTTTGTCCATTTTGCTCGAGATTCACATGGCTGCGCCAAGTTGCCTTGTGCGGATTAGATTGTTATCTGGCACTAGTCTTGATCTGTTTTATTCAGATTCAGATCAGCTATTGTTCCTATACGAGAAAATCTGTGGGTGCACATCCAATTCATTTGCAGATTTGCGTGCTTCTCCTGCAACGGGCGTTTACATGGTACATGGTGTGTGGGCGTATGTGTGGTGTGTTCATGCTGTACAGGCCAGTATTGCCAAGCACTGGGGACCTTTGGCAATCTGAAGAATGTTTTGTCCGAGAATCGATCCTTGGATCTGTGGCGTTGCAGTTGTGGTGCTCCCGACCCTCTTGGGGGACCTTTGGCAATCTGAAGAATGTTTTGTCCGAGAATCGATCCTTGGATCTGTGGCGTTGCAGTTGTGGTGCTCCCGACCCTCTTGCGCGATGGCCGCGGAGACCTAGCGAAAAGGTTCGAGACATACGGCATCTCAATATCTTCCACCACAATCAGTACATCAGCACCACCATCGAGTGTAGCGACATCAGCAATAGAAGACGCACATGATATCATCCACCCTTACGGCCTTAGCGAAGACCCGGGAATACCTGAGAAGATGTTAGCCGCAACTTTACTGGAAAAGTCGTCGGTGACAACGGCACTCCATATTTTAGCTGCATGCAGTTAGGTCTCTCAACAAGTGTACCCAAAGTTTTCAAGCTAATACACAAGCAAATTCACTAGGGGCCGAGTATATTTTCCTACACCTCTCCCTGTTTGTTGTTGTTATTTCTGCATTCAAATTGTTTGTGTACCTGTACATTTATTACAGTAGAGCCACGCATCCACAGCTGTTGTTTCCAAGGGGTCAGGCTCGTCAGTTATACAAAACCTTTCAGCAATCTGGCCTTAGGCTTAGTTCCTTGACTTCTTGTACCACTTTCTTAGATGCACATCCCACTGGATAGTGAGCAATACGTGTGTAGCAGAATCTGTATTCCAGAAAAGCAGAGACTCGAGTCTATTGACACTGCGTTTCTTTTTAAAACGTTATTGGCTGTGGTGTACCTAGAGGTATACACGTACATTCCTGGGTCCCACGTTCTGTGACGCCCGACTGTATTCGTGGTGCCTCAACAACTTTTAATTTTGTGCGCTCGGGAAAACCTGCCGGAGGTTGCGAGGCTGCAGAGTGTTGGCTGTGTTTTGCTTTAAAAAACCATCAGGTCTCCCCAGATTTTCTAGTCTGGCCCTGAATTTTGCCACTCTTCGGTTTCAAAACCTAGTGTGGTGGTGGAAAGCCTAGCAGTGTTGTGTGTGCATGTGTGTATTTTGTACAGTGCTGGCCAGAGAACTCCAACCTCGTTAATAAAGTAGCGCCGCGTTCGAGAGCACAGACCGGTCCAGTATGTTTACTACTAGGGCTGCATAGCGCCCGGTGCAATTTTATTCATAAGGTTGGATTTCTTTGGCCAGCACTGTAGTTAGAAGTAGGTCCTCTGTTTGTGTGCAATTGTGGTCACAGTGGCAGTAGTGGGTGAGGGGTAGACTCAGTTACTACGAAGATGGTGTATACATGATGGTGTATACAGTCATGTAGTTGAATGTTACTTCGGGCTTAGACCCAGAGGTTCTTGAAATGATGACCCCGGGTTTATGTACATGATTGTATCATTCAGCTACCGTTGTCATAATGGCACTAGTTGATAGAACACCTGTATAAGTACAGGCTGTACATCTAGCATTTTCCAAAATAGCACTCCGTACTTCGAGGCTGCAGCCGTTTTGCATGCAACGTTGTATGTGTTGATCGGTTGACAGCATGTGACAAAGCCGAGGACATACTAGTGTATCAGGAGCACTGTTTTTTAACACAGTGCGTCCCCCGCCTTGTCATGTTAATTTATCAAACAAGGCTTACCTATACCAACATTATACATGTAGGGCTGTGCATGCTTTCAAAATTCTTCCTTGTTGAAGTAGAATACCGTGCTTGTGGGGGCTTTAGTAGTTCCTGTGGGGGCTTTAGTAGTTCCTTTGCCAGATGTTCTATGCGTATCTCAATGACTTATCAGTTTCAGCACTTGGGCAAGGCACATTTGGGCCTACACATGTAGCCTTGAATTCTGGCTTGGAGGCATTATTTATCTATTTTCATGGCTGCTAGGTTCATCCTTAGTTAAGAGTTATTTCTCCGTGATTCGCTAATGAGTCCACAAAGGACGAAACAGCTAGACAGTACTAGTGCTGTCCCCAGATCGTGTATTCTAAATCCATAATACTGACGCTCAATCTCCAGACAGCTGTTTCAGCCTTTTTTAGGTCCCATCAGTGGAGCTCAGAGCGGGAGGTTAAACAAATGGCAATACGGTCTATATGAAATGAACAAAAAAAGCAATTTGAAAATGGCTCAAAGCATCAAAGTCAGCGAGCTATCTGCAAGACACGCACAAAGAGAGCTTTGCACGAAGGCAGATACATATTACATATACCTTTGACACTAACCAAAAAGAGTGCTCAATCAAGTCAACGCAAAGCAGCGTAATGCGGTGATCGAGTCTATATAAAGCTATAGTGACATGTAGCCAGGCCCCCAGCACAATAAGCTGACTTGCATCATGCTAAAATCGTTCACACAAATCTCTTATAATAATTATTATATAGATTGCAGGATAGGGTGGTTGCACCAGGAAGTGCTGTCTCTGCGATAGTGGGACCAGCCAAGATTGCAGTACAGTCGTCCACCATCAATCCAGCACTTCATTGGCCCACGCCCTCGATACACCAGCATGATTTCCGGAGTTATTACCGTTCATTGATACATGCCCCCCCACCCCCCAGTTCTTCGGCACCTGACCCGAGTTCTATTTGGGCCGCACTACTTTGTAGCAGTCATACTATAGTACTAGAACTGGATGCACGTGATATCCACTGGAGCTGGCGCTGGCCATGAGCTGACCCACCGCCGTGCCTCCCAGTGTCAATTTTGCTTATGTGATCCTACCACAATCTGGAACATTATCAGTACTCGCCTCTGTTGACTTGCCAGCACTAGTTCTGGTGGATCCGGGCATGTTTCTGCCTTCTCTTAAGCATGTATTCTCCTGCAGGTGCATCTTTCACCTCCTTCTAATGCGCGAGCACATTTTCTGTGGAGATTCAACGACACATAGACCAGAAAATACAGAACGGAACAGTGGCTGCCAATGCGACACAAGTACCACATAGACCTAAAAACTCATAAGTACCCTGGGAGTTAGATGCATTTACGGGCAGTATGCCAGGATTTGCGCAGCTAATTTAAAATCAGATTAGCAATGCTGTGTGCTACCTAGGTGGCATCTTGGACTCAAAAACCAACCGATTGTGGTCCAACCCAACCGACAGCGTTGTCGGTGGGTTCCGATTGGCAGGTGTTGGATGGACGTATGATCCATGCGTCCCCACAAGCAATGAGAAGTTAACAATGCCACTAAGGATATAATATCGCGGACAGCAGTACAATGAAACTGGGCCATTCATTATCAGCAATATCAGGGGTATATCCCATCCGATAAGACGTACAGCTCGTGTATGGCAGACTTTACAGCAGGTCCCGACATAGCTTGCCCCGTGCCCTTTACCACTCCTGGGCCAAAACTGTTGTACAATACTCGAGAGGGTCTAGCCTAGTGAGTGTGAATAGAACCTGGCAAACCATATCTCCAAGTGATTCACATGTTGGTATATTCTCCGTTATCATACATCAATTCCGAGCAATTTGACACCCGAATATTCTCGCACCACTACTGCTGAAGTATTGACCACAAACCATGTTCCATTTGACTTACAAAAGGAACTTGCAAAAGGCATGAGAGCACTGGAATCCGTAAAGACTCTCGCATTATTTATTAGCCACCATACATACCTTTCGGGAAGTCGTGTTGGAAGCAGCATGCTCGGAGAGCAGAGCTGAGTGAGATCTGCATACAGTAACACAGCGACAATGAACCACATGAACAGAAGGAAGCAGTCGTATCCGTACACATCTGAATATGCGCTTATGGGAGGAAAATCCGTGCGACAAAAGAGGACCGTGTTATGCAGGTGTATGTCTTACCCGGGTACGTACTAAGTGAGTTCCACCATACGTATATAATTTTATTGCAATTGAATCACTTGACTGACTGGAGCCAAAAATATCAATTGGCACTTACTCCGGTTACCCGAATGTTTCGGTACCACTATCATTAGGTTTTTTGCAATCGAACCAAGTCATAGTTGAGTCATTTTCAATGCGTTAGGTGTTACCTGATGTGCTCACTGCATCAGCCGCTATGTCAGATTCCACCAGGCATGCACCAAACCAGGCGCAATGCGCACACTGATGATGGTGGTTGGCACACAACGAGCAGTAGTAAAAGTGAAAGGACTTTTTGCATGTGATTTTGTTGTAATTTGTGCCAGTCGAATTGTTTAAGTGTAACTAGTTTATCGTTAGCTTACTAGTTTGTTTATACAAAAGAGAAAGACCAAGGAACTACAAGTTACGCTATACTGTCCACTAACACCACCAGTTACTAAACAATCAGCTCATGCGATAGCTATTGCACGACACTGAACAGCTCTAGCACATCTTGGATGCGCACTCCAACAGCCTTGTGGACGACGACCGTCACTGGAGAATCGGTCCGTCGCTCCACCAGCCCGGCGGCACAGTGGACAGTGCCTTGGGGGTGTCAGGCATGGATCAGGCTGATAAGGACGTGGTGGAGACGGAAATGATGTTTGCAAGGAAGAGTGATGATATGCGTATGTGCTCTCCGCCAGTTGTTGAAGCAACAGTCCGGCAGTGGAAAGTCGGCAAGGTTAAAATAAGTGACCAACTGGGTGAAAGTACACCAAATGTGGCCCATCTCTTGAATGGTGCGGACCACGGCAAGGACCTGAAGTTGAAGGTCGTCAATGGCAACACCGCATGGTCGACGTCAATGGGAACATCAAGCCATCAAGTTGGTGGAACTATGGAATGTCCGTCGCAGGCTGCAGCGACAGGGTAACGTGCTCAGGGAAGAGTACAGCGACGATGATCAGCTGTGTCTTGCACGCAGTCGTGTTGATCGTGGCGTGCAGAACAACAGAGTCAGTTGCGGTATTCGTACATTTGTCTGTTTAGGATTGTGATCCCCAGGAAGTCCTTTGGTGAGGAGTGATGTCACGCAACGAGCAGTAGTCAAAGTGAAAGGACTTCTTGCATGTGATTTTGTTGTAATTTTGTAAGGTGTGGTGGCAGAACTTTCAGCTGGTAGTGGGTGATGGGCTGTCTGTGTGACAACAATTACGGGCTTGACGAACGACATAATTATGGCGAGTCGATCTTTGGCCAGTTGCTGAGTTGGAGATCGTCACCGTAGACCCAGAGATCTGGTCCACGGTCCAGGGGTTGGGATCCCACTGTGGTGAGAGCTTGTGTGCCTGCTCATTGCGGCGTAAGACGCGCTGACCAGGAGTGAGGATGGGGGCGTTTGACCGGCGGGTGGCATTGGCAGCGTCGCACTGGGATTGGCGGAATTGCTGGTCACGGTGGGCAGCTGAAGGCAAGTCTGGTGCGGCTGCCGTAATGCAGGGTATGCTGTCGCGGATGGGGCGACCAAACATGAGTGTTGCCGGTGCCTCGTGAGTGGCAGGGTGTGGCGTGGTGCGGTACGCTAGGAGCCATTGGTCAAATGCAACATTGATGTCTTCGCCAGCTAGTTTGGCAGTTCGCAGAACTTTGCCAATGGTACGGTTGAGGCACCCGACTGCTCCGTTTGCTTGTGGCCACAAAGGAGGGGTGTGGCGGTGCTGGATAGCGTGTTGCGCAAGGAAATCAGCAAAAGCCGAAGAACGGAACTGAGGACTGTTGTCCGAGACTAGCTCTTCGGGCAAGCCGAACATGGATAATGTAGAGCGCAGAGCTACAACACCGGCCGTAGTGGGTGTCGTGCTGAACACGTTGATGACCGGGTAGCGAGTCAACTGGTCGATAGTGGCAAGCAGGTGCTGACCGTTTGGTATGGGTCCATACAAATCGACGAAGACTCGTTGCCACGGCTTGGTGGACGGTGGTGTGGGCACGGACTCCCGGACGTAGCGGTGTCGTTGAGAGAGTTGCTTGGCACGGAATAC